TATATATATATATATATATACAAGGTCCAAATCTGGCTAAGGTGTCAAAGTCTACAAAATACATCCAACAATGCTACAATAAGTAGCATAAAAACAACAAAAGAATAAAACTCCATCTGCCAGTTGCAGACCCTCCTCCGCACACCAACCTAACCCTGCTCTGCTCTCATACATAGTATGATTATCGCAGTTCAAACCACATGGAAACAACAAAGGGTAAGCTAGTGAAAAGAATCAACATACATATATCTAAATACATGAATGGTAAACAACTACAACTATCAGTACATCAACCAGCTTAACAGCATCAACTTATAACATAACACAGCATTCAACAATAACAGCAGTAAACAGCAGTACATAGTGGTAAACAGCAGTAAACACACAATGCGTTGTCACGCATATCAGTTAGTATTGGTCGCTTGTAATCGGTATACACTACTACAAAAACACTCTTTTACATCGCTAAATTTACATCGGTTTTACTATAACCGATGTAAATCATAAACGCGGTGGCAAACTTGTAAATAAATAGAAAATGTAAACATATTTACATCGGTTAGGAGGAGAAACGATGTAAATATGAGCCATTCTACATCGGTTTTTATTATGACCGATGTAGAAGTGAGCCCCTGATATGTACCCCGCGACCACGCTAGGTTAAAGCCTTTCACTCAGCAACGTCCCAGCCGCCGCGAGCAACCACGGAGAGCTCAAGTGCTTCCTCCTCTGTCTTCGCCGTCGCTCCCGCTCTCAAATGCGTATCGACTCCACCGCGCTCGATAGACTCTCCTCGTCCAACACCACTCCAACCACTTCCTTCAACCACCGCATCACTATCCCCGATTTTCTAACCCTACACGAATCCTGCGCCTTCCTCCTCGTCCTCCTCAACAACCTCCTCCTCTCCAATGCCCCCTCCCGCATTCCCCTCCTCATTTCCCAAACCCTAAATTCAAACCCTCATGCATTCCAATTCGACGACGCAGACGTCACCGAGCACGAACTCCCCGCGCTCCACAATTCGGGGGTTAAGATTGCTGTTGGGAGTGAGGAGGCTATGGGCATTGTGCTACTGCCGTTGGCGGCGCGTGGGACTACCTCTGCCTTGTCAGGAAGCTCAAGGTTCACCGTTCCGAGAAAGTTCTCAAGCACGGCCTCTCCATCTTGAAACACCCCAAACAACAATCCACTCTCGGCAACGAAGGTTACTTCCCTCATGCCACTGACCTAATTTTTCTTATTACTCTTCAATTGTGTGATTCTCTTGTTTTTAATTTTACGCGGTGATGTTTGGAGAAAGCAAAAAATGAGGTTCATGACCACCGCAATCTTTACTTGGCAAAGGTTTGTTTTCTCCTTTGTAACAACTCTTGTGGTGCTGGCTGTTGAAGCTGATATGCAACATGACTAACATTTGTGGCTGTTCAAACCTTATTTTGCTTCTGTTAAAGTAGAGAAATTCTTATTATTTTGAGCATTGTTTGTAGTACAAGGGGAGTGCTTGAAATCTTGGGTTGTGTTCAGTTGGCAGGATTGTATTTGGAGGGGAAAGATCGTGAGGAATTGAGAGCAGATGAACAGGGAAATGAAACAACACCTGCCAAGTCAACACCTCACATGTTTTGCAAAACGCTTACAGCCTTAGACACCAGCACTCATGGGGGGTTCTCAGTCCCTCGCAGAGCTGCTGAAGACTGTTTTCCTCCTTTGGTGTGACACCATGCTCTACTTTGCACTCATAAGTTCTACAACTAAATTTTTCAAGAGTTTTGAATTCTTTGTCTCCTTGAGAATGATGAATTGCTTTTGTGCTCACTACAGGATTATAAGCAGCAGAGACCCTCTCAAGAGCTTGTTGCCAAAGACCTGCATGGTGTGGAATGGAAATTTAGACATATTTACAGAGGTAATTGAAAAAATAAATGAAAAAGTTGGTGTTGCTGGCTTCATAATCACATATTGATTGACATAAATGATACAAAAAGTCCATGTGGTAACTTTTTGTCAGGTCAGCCAAGGCGGCATCTGCTCACTACTGGCTGGAGTATCTTTGTTAACCAAAAGAATCTCGTTTCTGGAGATGCAGTTCTGTTTCTAAGGTGTGTATACATGTTCAAATAGGATATTGTTTTCATTGGTATTGATATGTTTGTTTTTCCTATACTGTTCTAGCAATCACTGTTAATTTGTTCTTTTATTGGAATGATTAGTAAACATTCATTGTTGATGTTAATATTAAGGAAGCTTCTTGTCATAGTGACAGTGAAGTACCAAATTAGCATAGTGACATTTTTGGTTCTCGGGGATCTAGAATTTGTCTTGCCAAAATTTGGAAGCATGGAAAATGACTGATAATAAAATCATTATAATGTTTGTTTCTTATTGGTCATTAATTTGTTTGTAGGGGTGAAAATGGAGAATTGAGATTGGGAATCCGAAAAGCTGCTCGACCAAGAAATGGTCTTCCTGAATCAATTGTTGGTAGCCAGAGTTATTATCCCAATTTCCTTTCTTCTGTGGCCAATGCTATATTCGCGAAAAGCATGTTTCATGTTTTCTACAGTCCACGGTACTATATTAATGGATCAGATTTTTTGTTTTGCAAAATGTTTGAACTTCATACTCTAATTATTGGACCTTTGATTTCCATTTTGTCGTGGAAACTATAGATGATTCATTAATTTGATGTTTGTCATGAGAACTTATCTGTCAGTTATGCAAAATCTCAAAAGCAATGTTGTTAAAATTGAGATTTTACCTAAGATCAGGAAGGGGAGAAAAAATTGAAACCGAGGGTTGTAAGATCCTATATTTTTTGCCTAAAATGTAAAATTATATTTCTATATAATATATGCATAAAAAAACCTTTAAATTTACATAATTATAGTAATAACAATATATTTAACAGAATAGTTATAAACAAAAAAATTTAACAGAATAATCACTGTTGGATAGAAATCCCAAAATTTATGGGATATTATTATGTTGCAGAATTTCAGGGATTAGGATCTACGATTTATTCTTTATTATTGTTACTGATTTATAGGGATTCCTATTTAATTATAAGAATTGCCTATTATTTGTTTCCTTTTTTTATTTCCCTGTTTTGCCTATTTATGAACTTAATGAAATGGAAACTTTCCTCAAAATTAAAAGTTAATCGATAACTAGAGATTTATTTAGAAGTTTCCTAATTAAGGAAATAAGGAAATAAAAAACTGTACAAATTAGCTATAATTAAGGAAATAAAAACTGTAATAATCAGCTATAATTAAAAATTCCTCAAAATACATTTATATATACTACTAGTCTCCTAATTAAGGAAATAAGGAAATAAAAAACTGTACAAATCAAATCATCCAAATCTGTCCTAATTACGGAACAAATCTCCTAATTATTATAGAACAAATGTGCACCCTATTTTTAAGATTTTTGAAGAGTATGAATCTGGACCGATTTTTGAAAACATCCTGTTTCATGGGAACTAATTTTGACACATCAATGGTGTTTATAAAAATTTGAGAAAAATCACATGATTTCCTTGATGAGATGAGATTGCCCCTGTTTAGTTTTAGCTCAATATGTTGACTTTCCTATTTTTAAGATTTCTCTCATTCAATACAATTATTTAAGATTTCTCTTATTCAATACAGTTATTTAGGAATAAAATGGAATTCAAAGTTATAGCTTTATTAGAGTAGTTATTGTATCTGATAACCTCTAATTGAGGGAATTGGAACTCAACAATTAGATTTTGAAATTATACTATGAATGAAATATGTTTATACAGGTAACTCAGAAAGAATCTAAAAAAATAATTGATTTTTTTTTAAAAAATGCAATTTACATCGGTTTAAGGTAGAACCGATGTAGATTTACGTTCAAATCTACATCGGTTTTGTTTACAACCGATGTAGATTTGAACGCAAATCTACATCGGTTTTTTGACAACCGATGTAGATTTAAACGCAAATCTACATCGCTCTATTCTACATCGGTTTTATAACCGATGTAGATTACCTTCCAGAACCGATGTAGAACA